GCCTCGAGGGAGGAGGGATTGGATGGAAACAATGTAACTAAACACGATGGGGCCTAAAGGGAAGGAGAGGGAGACTCCCTTCAACACCTAGAGAGGACTTCCGTCAAAAGTGAGAGAGGGGAAGGGAGGGCCTTTATGAAGGGGGAGAGGGCGAGGGAGGGGAGGGGGAGTGAAGGCCATGACTGGGGGCAGGCATAGGAACCTCCTCAGACAGCAGCCTTCATCTCTGAACCAAACCCTGAACTATCTCAACACCTAGGTCAGGACTTTTGTAACCTTCCAGGGGTGGAGGGAAGTCTAAATCACACTGAGATTTAGATTTAGTTCAGCATGGCACACCCGACAGGGGAGTGAGGACATGAAGTCACAGCAGGGACTCCTTGACTCTGTGCCTGACAGCTGCAGGGAGCGGGGCCTGATTCCAAATATGGGACCCGGCCTAAAAGTGTTCCAAAGATAAATCTTTAGGTTCAATATGAATGACTTCTGGAGACTTAATATACTGTTTGGTATATGCACTCATAACTGAAAATTTTCTCAAAGAGCACATAAGTATCGACCCCCCCACACACACAAAAGGTAATTATGCCAAGGAATGAACGTTAATCAGCTTAATTGTGATAATAATTATACAAGATACACTAATAGCAAAATGCCCGGCTGGGGCTGGGGACGCGGCTCAGTTGGAAGAATGTTTTTAGTTGTTTGTAAGGCTCTGGGGGTTGTGCTACTATCTCCAGTTTAAAAAGCCTCCATGCTGCACATCTCAAATACCTACAAAATTCTGCCGGTTGTACATTAATAAGTCTAAAAATGAAATGAATGAAACAAAATACATAATACATATTATATAAAGTATATAATGCTTACTTGAATAGAAACAGCCCCTGCTTTTCTATACAGACAGAATCAAAAAGCATCCCAGATCTTCATTCTTGGGAAGGTCACATGAGTGAGTGACCTTTCTTAGGGATAGGTGTTTTCTACCTTCCTCATACCCTTGATGGGCAAAGACCAATTTGTTCTAAAAGATTAAAGGGAGAATCCTTCAGACTTCACATCAGGGTAGACAGACTTTCTCAGCAAGGTCTCCTGGAAGCAAGCACCCCAAGGTGCCACCACAGACACAATGCTGTGCCTCAGGCCTTGCTCCCACCTCCTGCTCCTGGCTGGCTGATTCTCTGCTGGTTCTCCTTCGGGCATACTGTCTTTAGTTTCCTTCATATCCTCATATTCCGAGGAGTTGGGAATTTGGGGGAAAGTTTGGCTTTTCCTTGGGGTCTCTCTTAGATAGAAAGTCAACATTGCAACAGGATAATTAACCCAGGATGCCCAGTGCAGACTGCTGTCCTCACCCCATCTCCAGAGCTTTTTCATGACTCTTGGGCTTCTCACAGTAGGAGCACAAGGTTCTGGGTTTGCCAGCATGAATGTCCCTATTAACTTCTCATCTTCTCAGCTAATAAGGGTAATTTACTCCAGGAAAACATTAAAAACCAAAATAGACTTTGGGCTCCAACCTGAGGTACTTCTTAAGAAATGTAAGTTTGAGACTAACCTGTTCAACTGCAAGTGCACTTAGAGAGAAAAACAAAATGAAAATTTGTTGAATGTTTAAATTGTGGTATTTTCATATGTATAATGTTAGCTCGGGGTTTGTAGAAAACAATTTGCATAACAAAAATTCCTATCTCTTTTTCTAATTAGTGCAATAATTGAAGAGCAACCACCTGTGGAGGAGGACAAAGAGAATTATTATCGTAAATGCTCATGTGAGCATTTGGGGAGATTGGATTCCCTTCTACCCAGACCCCACGCCATCCCCTCAGGCAGAGGTTTTCTTTCTGCCAGCTGAGTGACAGGTGCTTTCCTCACAGGCAAGCATTACCCTGGCTGGCCACAGTCCACACAAGCACAAAGCACCATGTAATGGTTTTTAAACTCTGATTCCTTGAGGTCCATTACCCAGCTCCCAAATGAGTTCACAGAGACTTATTCTTTCTTATGGATGCCCAGCCTTAGCTTGGCTTATTTCTAGACAGCGTTTCTTAAGTTATCCCATCTATTTTTTGCCTCTGGGCTTTTACCTTTCTCTATTCTATATGCCTTTTCTTTTTTAATCTCTCAGTCTGTAGCTGGCTGGGTGGCTGGGCGGCCGTCCCCTGGTGTCCTCCTCTCCTCTTCTTCTTGCTTCTCCCTCTTCTCTTTTGCTCCTCTATTTATCCTCTCTGCCTGACAGCCCCGCCTATCCCTCTCCTGCCATTCAGCTCTTTATTAGACCAATCAGGTGTTTTAGGCAGGCAAAGCAACACAGCTTCACAGAGTTAAGCAAATGTAACATAAAATAATGCAACACAGCTTTACATCATTAAACAAATATTCCATGGCTTAAATGAACATAACACATCTTCAAACACTCCACAACTGAAAGGATCTGCCTTGTTGATTTTTTTGTGAGGAATAGACATGGCTCTTCCATGGCATGATGGTTTGAATGAGAAGTGCTCCCATGGGCTTGGGTATTTAACACTTGGTCCCCAAGATGATGATGTTATTTAGGGAGCTTTAGGAAGTGCATTATTGCTGGAAGAAGCACATAACTGGGCAAGGCACTGAGCATTAAAGCCCACACCACTTCCAGTTTTCTCTCTCTGCTTGGGGCTTGTGCTCATTCAGCTCTCTACTGCCATGTGTCACTTTCAGGGCAGAGTCCCTTCCCCCTTTGGAGCCACAAGCCAAATTAACTTCATCTTTTGCCTTGAGTGCAGTACTTTATTACAGGTCCAGAAAAGTAACTAATAAGCATGGCAGCACTTGTGGAAAGATTGCAAGTAAATGATAAATCCATGATCTAACAGAGATGGCCAGGCACCACAGTGCCAATACCACCACACTGGAAGTGACCTCTCAAGGGAAGCCATTCATTCTTCCACGGTACAGCCATTCTTAACATTTCCAGCTGCCCCTGCCAATTGTTCCCCTTCAGTCTTCCTCCAGCCTACCATTAAGCATAGCAGGGATGAAGTTAATAGTTTGAAACCCAGCAAATGAAGCCAGCTATAGTTGAGGGATAAAGTAAGTATATGGATATTTAATGAATTGCTTGAGTCATTTGTTCCTAGCAGTGGCATCAGGGTTAATTTGAGAGAAATGCTAAATTAATTTGATGTCCAACATTGACTTTGATTGAGAAAAAAAATTTATTCTCCAATTTGTCAGGAACAAGCCTAAAGTAAGGAGTGCGGTTCTTCCTTCCTGAAATTCATGTTAATTCTCGAAGCTAGCTGTGTTCTTCATCGACGCACCAGCTGAATGACTCACTGCTAAGACAATTTCCTATGCGAATTAAAACATTTACAAATCAAATCTGGAGATCTTGAACAAAAAAAGGTGGAATTCTTGTCTTGCTCCAGAAGCACTTAGAGTGGGCACTCCTCTGCTGGCCCCGCCAGGGGCAGAGGTGACAGCCCCTCTAAGAACAAAGACCTACTCTACACAGAGACCCAGCCTACTGTTGATTTAGGCCTTATGTGGGAAGACTATGCACACAGCAGGAGCCCTTTGGAGAGTTCCCATGTACACTCAAACTTTAATAACCAAAATTACTGGTTGCAATAGAAACAGCATTGTAAATCACATTTAAAACAAATTTATTTCAATTTATTTATGCACTATCTAGTACTCTCACCAGCACTGCTGACATGGTTGGGCATTGCAGTTTATCCCACACAACTGGACTTGAAAATCAGGGAGCATTTCTATTCTTCCTAGGGAGTGAGCTCAGCTGCTTAAATAGCTATCTATGCCCCACAAAATAGTATAAGAATCTAGACTTGTCTGGATCCAACTCTCCTCCTCTTTTGCCACATATTTCAATTCTAGAACAGTGAGTAAAAATCAGCATATATTTCTGTAGACTAGAAAAATGTGTCCTGAAGCCAACAGGCTAGAAGCCCACTTATATATGAAAATACTTTATAATATTCAAACTACAGGTTGTATTCAATCTATACTAACATTTGGGGAGGTTCCAAAGTTAAAATATTTAAGAGCAAGAGAGATGCTCTGTGAACCTTAGAAGAGCACATTACTTTTTATTCTCTGTATTCTTGTGTCCTAGATTTTATACAATTCTGTACAGTTTGCATGGTGATACAGAGATTAACTTGGGGGAGTTACTTTTTTGGGAGGCAGGGTTAGTTTTAATTTCCATTCTCAGGACATATCTCTTACTGGAGGATTAAAAAGAAAGACCAAAATCTTTTCCAGTGTTCTTTAACATGGTGCAAGTTTCTCACCATGTTAACCACAGGTCAATAATTATTAGTGCTGGAAACTAAGATTTGATTTCCATGGCTCTCACCCTTACAGTGACAAATCAAATTTTCATAACTCAATACCTAGAAGACAGGATTATACCTCTTGGTAGAACTGTCTAGTGTACTGATTGCAATTATAAAATCTTTTTACAGAAAAATACACCATGATTTTTGTTTTCTTTTTGTGCTATTTAAAATATTGAGTTTGTCTTCTTTGTTTTTGTGTTCTAGAAAAATCTTTAACCTAACAGCAAACATGCGTGCCTCTTTCTTGATAGGCAAAGAAAATAGGATTCCATTTAAACAAGGAGATAGCTGGTGAAATTCATAATCATTGCCCCTTATCCTTGGCTAGCTTGTGAATAAACAAGTTTACAGATGGCCCAAACCAACCCAGCTCCTAGTTCTTACAGCAGACTGTGGCAATGCTATGATTAGCTCTTCATTAGAATTTAAAAGGTAGAAACTATTAAGGAAGGGACTAGAGACCTCTTCTTAGTAATAAGGATTTCATTTGGCCACTGTGCTTTGTATTGATTTTGTATTGTATCTACTACCAAATAAGTCCAGGAAAGATAATAGTCTATAACAAGAAGAAAACAACTGATGTTTAAAATGAGATGATGGCTTGGTTGATCCACTAAGAAATGGTAAATATCATCTATACCTGGGGTTACTCACCCAAGAATCCTAACAGAATGTAGCCAATAACAAACAGTACGAAGATCATACAGCACAGAACGTCGGTACAACCCCTGAAGACAAAAAGGAAGGAAGAATTAAAAGGTATCCCGAGAGATTTGTTCACTACACAAAAATGTAGGGAAAGGAAGATAATAGCTATCAGCCTCCTGGGGCCCACAATTCTGACAGGTGGGACTGGGGTATTTGTTCAATCAAAGACTTAAGTAGCAGTGGGGGACTCAGAGCACAGACAAGAGCTCCCTCAGAGCTCTAAGTATTTATTCTCTCTTGATTAATTGGAGAAATATTTTTAGAGATTAGCATATGCCAATGTCAAATAGACTTTTTCTTTTTATGTGTATATATGTACTGAATGAGTGCACACATGGGTTTGCATGCATTGTTGGTATCAGGAAATTTCCTTGACCAATTTCCATCTAATTCATTAAGGCAGTTCCCTTAGTCAAACCTAGAGCTCTCTGATTTGACTAGTCACTGGCCAGCTGGCTGAAGAGATCCCCTGGGGAAGTAACACACCCATCAGCATTGACACAGGTGCAGGGGATTTCTCACTTTCTCAGCATCTCTTATATTCAATTGACAAGCTCTCTGGACTCCCTCTCTTGGATCTGACTTTAAACAAGAGCCCCCTTGCTTACAGTACAAGCAAGATACCTGCAGAGTTATCCCCTCAGCCCTTGAGTGATTCTTAAAAGTCTAATTTGAAGCCAGCTGGTGGTGGTGCACGCTTTTAGTCCCAGCACTTGGGAGGCAGAGGCAGGTGGATCTTTGTGAGTTCAAGGCCAGCCTGGTGTACAGAGTGAGTTCCAGGGCTACACAGAGTAACCCTGTCTTGAAAAATAAAAACAAACAAGCAAACAAAAGTCTAATTTGAAATGTAATTTAAGTAGTCTGGTCACATGATTTTATTTTTCACGGTTTCCCAATACATGGTCTAAAACAATTTGTCCTTTTTCCCACATTTTTTTTTTTTTTGCTGTGGTTATTTTACACAGAGAACTGACTACATCATCTTCCTCAGGGGAACATATGCCAACCCTGGTACAAGCAGCCGAAAAGGTTTCCGAACTCTAATCTTTCCAGAACCATGCAAAATAGGCATCTAGGCGTTGTCAGATTAGATTTAGAAAGATGGTGGTTCTGAGAGATTCACTGATTTGCTAAATCAGGACTAGAATGCAACCAATGGATCAGCAAGAACACTCAATGTTTCTTTTTTCATTTCTGTTTCATGTGTGTGGCTGTTTTGCCTGAGTGTAATCTGTCCAGCACTTGTGAGCCTGGTGCCCATGGAGGCCAGAAGAGGGTGTTGGATCTCCTAGAACTGGCATTAGAAGTGGTTGTGAGTTGCATTGTGGGTACTGGGGCTCAAAGCCCAGTCCTCCAGAAAAGCATCCAGTGTTCTTAACTACTGAGCCATTTTCCCAGCCCTGACATCCAAGGATTTCAAAACAAAATGTTTCCTATTTCCAGTATGATATTGTGTTCAGCTCCCAATGGCTTAAAAGTTCTAGCTACATCATTTAAGTAAGAAACACCACTGCTTCTTATTTGAAACAACTGTGAATCTATTATTAAGTATGAGAACCAAACAAAACAAGAAGTCTAGGCACACATGGTGAGGCTTGTAATCCCAGCACTCAGGAGGACCAGGCAGGAGAACCTTGGCCTTGAGGTAGTCTTGGCTGTATGGGGGATACTGTTTAGAAGAAAAAAAGAAAAGAAAACAACAGCCCATGTGGTGGGATTGGAAGTTGTGTGACAGAATTTTCAAAGCAAAATATTTGATTTGGAGGCATCTGGATACACTCATATTTTAGCACAGGTGAGATGTGTGTGTGTGTCTTTGTGTATATTTGTGTTTATGTGTGTGCTTGTATATCTGTGTGTATTTCTCTCTTTGTGTGTGTGTGTGTGTGTGTGTGTGTGTGTGTGTGTGTGTGTGTGCTGTCATGTATGTACTTTCAGGTACGTACAATTATCTGCTATAATTATCTACTATTTCATTACCCATTTATTTTCTGTCTTTTTCTTCATATTCTCTCCAGGAAAAAAAAATCAGGGCTTAGAAAGTTACTGGGAAGTTTGTTTTGTTTTTTTGTTTGTTTTGAACAAAATACAAACTACAGCTTATGTAAAATTGTGTGATTCAAGGAATACAGTATGCCACTTCTGCCTCTATGTACTTGCAGCTTTCTTTGTTCCTGTCTTTGAGCTCAGGACAGCAACCACATCTCAGTTTTCTTGGAGAAACAATGTGGGCTTTTAGATCAAGTATTCCATTTGGATAATTAAAAATAACTCCCCAGACAAATATTGAAATAAGTGGTTAGCAGACTCTCTGTCTGAGTTATTCTGACTCACATTTAAGCTGAAGGGCAGTCCTGGGAAGCTTTTCTTTTTTTTACTTCCTACCATAATTTTTAATGTTTGCTGTGACGGTGAAAATGAGCCCACCTGAAGAAAAGTGGGTTGCATCCCATGGGGTCCCAGAAGGAATATTAATGGAGAAACAGGCCCAACTCTCTTCATTGCTTCTCTCCTTTCAAAGTCTCATTCTTCCAAAACACAAGGCTGCTCACACTCTGTTCATCAGAAAGCCTCCACAGACATTCAGTCTTGGACATCTGACATCAAAGTGTTTCCAAGTTAAATTATAAAAGTATTTTGCTCCCTTGTATGTAATTTCCAAGCATAAGAATTGGATCCTTATATTATATTATATATGTGCTTACAAATGTGCCCTCCCCTTGTATCTCTAAACTATGACCCAGATTTAAAGTATTGGGAGTTCCCTTTGATGTCCCATTTTCTCAACATCTTTGGTATTCAATTGGCAAGTTCTCTTGACTTCTGTCTCCGACTTTCTGGTCTTGTTGCCTGGAGTGCATCTAGGTTCTCTTATCCTCTCTTTAAAATATTGCTTCGATCTCTTAACTGGGCTCCTTCAAGTGGTTTCTGCCTGGCCCAAATCATTGGACAACCAGATACCGCTGGGACATATGACATCATTCTCTCTCACAATGTGGACTCACCACCACCTAACTTCCTGAATGTCAGCTCCATGTCAATTTGCAGGTCCTGCCCCTGTGTAGGCCACACCCTCTTTCCAGGCCCCGCTTTCCGGTTCCTATTCAACGTGTTTCTGTTGACTTGGACTTGTGCACTCACTAATGTACAGTCCCGTCAGTCCCGTGTTCCTTGATCACCTCCCGAGCTTTCTGCTCTCAGCACCGCGAGGCTCGCCTCCTGGGTAACCGCAGGCCCCTTCAGGCTCATCACAATTGGCTTCATCCTGTGGGGCTGGAGAACCCATCAAGGAAGCTACCTCTTGATCCAAAAGTGCCCAAGCTTGAGCAACCCCATTACACAAAACCTCACTCTTTAAGCAGCTCAAAATGTGATCTCGGGGCCGCTGTCCCAGCAGCACAGCCAGTGTCCCCTTGCTCATGTACAGCCACTGAATGTGAGAGATTTTTACTTCCTTCACTTGTTTTGAGAAAGGGTCTCACTATGTAACCCCAGTTGGCCTGGAATTGCTATGTAGACCAGGAGAGCCTCAGATTCTTCAACCTCTGCCTCCTTCTACTAGGTTTCCATTATTATCTTTGTTTGTTTGTTTGTTTTTTGAGACAGGGTTTCTCTGTGTGGCTTTGGAGCTTATCCTGGCACTTGCTCTGGAGACCAGGCTGGCCTCGAACTCACAGAAATCCACTTGCCTCTGCCTCCCGAGTGCTGGGATTAAAGGCATGCGCCACCAACGCCCAGCTTAGGTTTCCATTTTTAAGTATTTTTTTAAACCCAGATAGAGCCTGGCATGGAATTTCACACCTGTAAATCACAACCCTGAAGAGGAAGTAGCAGGAAATTATGAGTCTGAGGCTAGCCTGGACTATGTAGAAATGTAGAAAGTTCTTGTCTAACAAACAACCAAAATCCCCAAATCACAGTGATCACATTTTATGACATTAAAAAATATACAAAATTCAAATTTTAGCATCCATAAGTAAGAATTTTTCAAAAACAAATCTTATTCATATGTGCATAGTCTGTGGCCAATTTTGTGTTACAATGGCTGAAGATAGTGGTTGCATGAAAAATCACTCAGCCTGAAAAGTTAAAAGTGTTTATTTCCTGAACCTTATAGAAAAAGTTTGCTGAACTCTACCCAAAACATGGAGGCCTCTGAAGCAACATTCAGCACATGGCCTGATAAGACAGACAGACAGACAGACAGACAGACAGACAGAGAGACAGACAGACACACACACACACACACACACACACACACACACACACACACCCCTGACTGGCAGACCAATCGTAAGTTGCCTCTGCTGACCTTCCAAGTTCTCAGCTTCGAAATTCAGATTCTATTTTCTTTTCTTCTGACCCAACACAGTGAGCCAGGTGTCCAGAGATTTAATGGTTTTGGTCAAGTTTACACATGCCACCAGTAGAGTGAAAATCACCCCAAACAAACTGAGTCCAAGGTAGCCATGGCATTTTTTTTTTTTTTTTTTTTTTTTTTTTTTTGCCTAAGCTCATGTCTCAGCTGCAAGCTAGCCTTTATTTTCCCTGTGGATGTCACTCAGCTTCCTGTATGAGACAGCTTTCCACCCTCATCCTGAAACAGGTTCATTTTTAGGTTTCTTTCTTTGTGACAGATGGAATTTCAACACCATCCATCCTGAAAGGTCATTAATAACAAGCATTAGAGTGAGAAAGAACGGTAGCTCTGAGACTCATTACTCTCTGACAGATAACCCGTCAGTGCCTAATGACTCAGCTTAGGGGCTGTCCTTTGTTCCCTCACCCCTAAGCATGGTGCCTGGGGGTCCAAACTCAGGTCATCCTGCTTGAGTAGAAGCACATTACCAAATGAACCATCTCCCTGGCCTCAGACATTCTTTCTAAATGTTTCTTTCACAGTCTACTAGTGATACGTTTCCTCAATTTTTGTTGGTCTAAGTCTTTCTTTCTCCATCCCTTTTGGAAGGCAGTTTCCCAGGGCCCAGGTTTCTAGGACAGGGGTTTTGTTCTGTCTGCACTTAAACACTCTGTCCTGGTCTCTCCTTGCTGGCAGGCTGTCTGCAGAGGAGCTGGCTAGAGGACTTAACTTGGCTCCTCGGTGGATGTTTGTTCACCTCCGGCTTCTTTCAGTGTTTTTGCTTGATGTCTAATACTGTCTAGAAACGTCATTTTTTAAAAATGGTTTTTCCCTTCCTTTCACTTCCCCTCGTGTTCATTCAACACATTTTGTGGTACTCAGACACTCTGGAGCTTTTCAGTCTTTGCTCTCTTTACTTCTCAGTTTTGGAGGATATTGCTCAAATATCCCCAGGCTCAGAGTCTTTCTGTGGCCATATCCACTGTAGCAATAAATCCATGACAGGCATTCTTCATCTACTTTACATTTTCTTTCTTCTTAAAAAAATTTTTGGTGTGTGTGTGTGTGTGTGTGTGTGTGTGTGTGTGTGTGTGTGTGATATGAGTGTAGCTTTTCTCAGTTTTCATGCACTGAACCGACATAAGACAGGTCTTATCAACAATCAGTCATGGAAGGCAGAGGCGCTCACAGGGTGCTATCTTTACCACTGAACTATTGGCAACTGATAGATGCTTGGGTAGGGAGATGGTTTTCATTTGTGCACCCACTGCTGAGACCACCAGGCTCCAAAGGACAATTCCTGGTCACACAGATGGTCATGGTTAAACTCCTGGTCACACAGATGGCCATAGTTAAACTCCTGATCTCAAAAATGGCCATGGTTAAACTCCTGGTCACACAGATGGCCATGGTTAAACTCCTGGTCACACAGATGGTCATGGTTAAATTCCTGGTCACACAGATGGCCATGATTAAACTCCTGGTCACACAGATGGCCCTGGTTAAACTCCTGGTCACACAGATAGTCATGTTTAAACTCCTGGTCACACAGATGACCATGGTTAAACTCTTGGTCACACAGATGGCCTGGTTAAATTCCTGGTCACACAGATGGACCTGGTTAAACTCCTGGTCACACAGATGGCCCTGGTTAAACTCCTGGTCACACAGATAGTCATGTTTAAACTCCTGGTCACACAGATGACCATGGTTAAACTCCTGGTCACACAGATGGCCATGGTTAAACTCCTGGTCACACAGATGGCCCTGGTTAAACTCCTGGTCACACAGATAGTCATGTTTAAACTCCTGGTCACACAGATGACCATGGTTAAACTCCTGGTCACACAGATGGCCATGGTTAAGCTCCTGGTCACACAGATGGCCATGATTAAACTCCTGGTCACACAGAAGGCCATGGTTAAACTCTTGGTCACACAGATGGCCCTGGTTAAATTCCTGGTCACACATATGGCCCTGGTTAAACTCCTGGTCACACAGATGACCATGGTTAAACTCCTGGTCACACAGATGGCCATGGTTAAACTCTTGGTCACACAGATGGCCCTGGTTAAATTCCTGGTCACACATATGGCCCTGGTTAAACTCCTGGTCACACAGATGACCATGGTTAAACTCCTGGTCACACAGATAGTCATGTTTAAACTCCTGGTCACACAGATGGCCATGGTTAAACTCTTGGTCACACAGATGGCCCTGGTTAAACTCCTGGTCACATAGATGGCCATGGTTAGACTCCTGATCACACAGATGGCCTTGGATAAACTCATGATCACAACACAAACCAGACAGACATGAATGTGGGAGAGAGATCTGTGGAGCATGGAGAGTGGACAGGGACAGAAGGGAAGTGAGAGCTGACATAGGTCAGTGTGTGTTACAGGTGTGTGAAAAGTTCTAGGAACAACATTTTAAAATGACATTGAAAAGTTCTAGGGTATTGAGAAGAACTTCACTTGTTAAAATCAGGGACTTAATTGGAGAGGCCTTTTATTACGTCAACCTATATTTTCAGCTATTTGAGGGGAACTGGCTTTTCAAGTCTCTTAACATTTTGTATCAAAGGTCCCATTTGCCTTCAAAGGGAGTGCTGGCACCCCACTGAGAAGAGAGTACTCATTTTGTAGGGTTAATATTTAAATGGACTTGGAACTGTTGTTGAAAATTAAAATACAAATAACAAATACAAATAACAAAACCCTACAGAACTACAAGATGACATTGACAATGTCATTTAAGTCAAATAAGATTGCTGAGTGTTGTATCTGCTTTAGTTAGTTCTGAATAATTGTGTCTTGAAACCTTCTTTTATTCTCCGTGATTAATTTTCTCTTCTATTTTCCTTGCACTTGAATTTCTGCTATCTTGAGGAAACAGCTTTAGCTGGGCATGATTTATATTTTCTATTTGTCAAGGGAAATATAGCCTATTTTTTTGCACAGCTTAAGTAATGCTTGTATAAATATGTCTTTTGTTTAAAATGGAGCAGGATTAGTTAGAGTTGGTCTTCATGTATGATTCATCATTTTTATAAATTTTGTACAATAATCTAAGTAGGTGGAAATCACTTTGTAAATTGCTGTTATATTGAAAGCCAGATTGGACTTGGTGGCTCACACCTGTAATCCCAGCATTTTGGAGGGGGAGGCAGAAGGATTTCCACAAGTTTAAGTCTAGTCTGAAGTACATTAAGAAAAAGGGAAGTCAAAGTATAAGACAGATCCTAGGCATTACCCACCTTACACCTGGCACCACAGCACAGCTCAAGGGACAGCATTGTACAGCCTGGACCTTTGTCCAAAGTTCTAGATACTGTCTATGGAGAATTCTTATCAGTTTAAAATACTGTTATCTGCATCTGCTTCCATCAGCTACTGGATGAAGGCACAAGGATGGCACATAAGATAGTCATCACCCACAGCTAAACACTGAGCTGAACTCTGGAATCCGGTTGCAGAGAGGGAGGAGTGATGAGCAAAGGGGTCAAGACCAGGCTGGAGAAACCCACAGAAACAGCTGACCTGAACAAGGGGGAGCTCATGGATCCCAGACTGATAGCTGGGAAACTAGCATAGGACTGTTCCAGACCCCCTGAATGTGGGTGTCAGTTAGGAGAACTGGGCAATCTATGGGGCTTCTAGTAGTGGATCAGTATTTATCCCTAGTACACAAATGAACTTTGGGATCCCTCTCCACATAGAGGGATACTCTCTCAGCCTAGACACATGGGAGAGGGCCTAGGCCCTGCTCCAAATGATATGACAGACTTTGAAGATTCCCATGGAAGGCCTCACCCTCCCTGGGGAGCAGAAAGGGGTTGGGATGGGGGGTTGGCAGGGGGGGGAATAGAGGAGGAAGAGAGGAAGAGGGAATTGAGATTGACCAGAAGCTGCGTTCTAATTTAAATTTTAAAAAGAAAACAAAAAGAAAATGCTGTTATCAAAGCTGGATCAGCTTTCTGCACAAGCATGAGAACTAAGTTCACATCCCCAGCACCTGCACAAAATGTCCAGCCTGGCTGAATGTGCACAACTGTCACCTCAGTACTGTGATGGTCACAGGCAGGAGGGTCTCTGCTGACTCCTGCCCACCAGCCCAGTTCCAGGTGATGTGAGAACCCCCACCATCTGGTGTATACACAAGTGTGCAAGGCCACATACATAATACACCTGGCAAGCACACATGCAGACACAGAATAGAAAGGAGTGCCTGAATATGTGGGGTAGATGAGCACTATATAAACACGCAGAGCAGGAAAGCAACGACTGCTATTGAAACAACACGCGCTCTTCTGAGCACTCCCACACCCGGAGCAGCCATCACAATGTAGCTACTGAGAAACCCAGAAACCCTGGCAGGCGCCATAGTGCTTTCAAATCCAGGAATGGAATTCTGTAGTGAGAGATCTAACCAATGGCATCTGTGGCGCTGACCTCACCCCTTTGGGCGTGGTCACAGGTGTGTATGTGAGTGTGTGAGATTTGGTCTGGGGTCCAGGACAGGCTCGCTCTCTCTTGGTTCTGGTCAGGTCATGGAGAGCAGCTGGGTGTGGATCCTTGGAGCTCATGTAAGTGACTTCTCCCCGAATAAAATTAACCTATATTTATCCTAGTCCTGTGTATCTTAATCTGTACATCTACAAAAATTCAGTTTTGAACATTAGCTTAGCCACAAAATGGCTTTACTTGTAAAACATTTTTATATTTACAATGAGGTATCCATTAAATGAAAAAAAACACATTTTAAGTGATTTTTGCATGGACTCCACAAGCACATGGAGCTAGTGGCTTTCTCAAGGAAGGCAACCAAAATATTAAGAAAGAACTATTTTTAATGCATCTTTTTGTGCCTTTTAAATTGTATACTGTTCCCTTATATTGTCAAGTTAAAAGCAATCCTGAAATGCAAATTCATGTATTGATTTTGTACCCCTTAGAAATGTAAATAACCCCAGATAGTAAAATGAATGCATTGTGACTTGGCAGTTTCACAAGAATGACACTATCAGTTTGCTAGGTACAAAGCTATTATGGATGGGTTTGGGAGAATGCCTTAAAGCCATTAGGGACATGTTCTCAGGAGAGTGCCTTACTGGGATTATAGATATGATTAGTCGTTGTCATTGAAGATTTGAACTTGGTCATTAGAAATCTAAATAGATTTTAAATTAGTTTGGAAAATTTTGGAGGGGCAATGGGAATATAATAAAAAGCAGAGGTCAGAGGAAACTTGGTGCAAGTTCCTTCTACCACGTGGGGCATGGGGATTGAACTCCAGTTGTTGGAGTTGGTGGCATGTGCCTATAATCTCTGCATTGAGAAGATGGACACATGAAAACTCCAGGAGCTCACTGGATGGTGGTCTAGCCAAATGCGTGAACTCCAGGTTTAGTGCAAGACCCTGCATCAAAAATCAACACATGGGACAATCAAGAGAGACAATGACATAGATATCTGGCCTCCACACAAACGTGTACAGATGCATGTGCCCCCAGCATACATACCACACATACAAATTATTACTAAAAATATGATTTTTTTCTGACAATTTTCAGTTCACCCAAATATTTGGTTTTCTCCACTATGAAGTACTTAGGTAGCTTATATGATCAATCCAGGAAAACTGAACATTTTGTATTCTTTTAGAATTCAAAGTAAGCCAAACTTCTGCTTGTTTCCCTAAAAGCATATCCTAGACATGATACCAATAACAGAAAAGTACCAAGTTGTTGGAACTGATAGCTGAATAATTTCATATTTTAAATTCAATATGTCTATGATGTTCAAGGGAATGGAATCTGAAATGTAAATAAAGTCCTTGTAAATATATGCCAATGCAGTTATCATAGGCTGCATATTGAGATACTCGTGTAGTTTTTAAGTAATAGGCACAAAACATATTACAAACTATATCAATCTATGTCACTTCAGCAGTAGACACTGGAACAGCAGCTAAATAGTAGCTCTGGAAGTCAATAAGACATTTTATACTTATTTTGTTCACGAATGGCTCTGATGCCCATAAAAAAGCACCATCACTGAACACACACAAGGGCTATTCCATGCCCTCCTTACATTTTGCAGTCTGTGTGTGCAGGACTTGTATTTTCAGAGCCACCCCTCAATGGGGGTTCTTCCTCCTCAGGACTTCATAGAAATACACAGCATGTTTCCAATGGTGGTTTAAAATACATCTGCTTTGTGCTACTCTGGTGAGAAGTCTACATGTGTGTGAAGTTATGTGCATGTGTGTGTGTGCATGTGTGTGAGATTATGTGTATGTGTGTGTATGCATGCATGTGTGTGCCATTATGTGCATTGTGTGTGTATGTGTGTGAGGTTATGTGCAAGTTGTGTGCATGTGTGTGAGGTTATGTGCATGTAGGTGCATGCATGCACATGTATTGTTATGTGCATGTGTGTGAAGTTATGTGCATGTATGTGCATACATGCATGTGTACCCAGTTATGTGCATGTGAGTGTGTGCATGTGTGTAAGGTTATATGCATGTATGTGCATGTGTGTGAGGTTATGTGCATGTGTGTGATGTTATGTTCATGTGTGTGTGCATGTGTGTGAGGTTATGTGCATGTGTGTGCATGCATGTGTGTGCATGTATGTGGTTATGTGCGCGTGTGTGCATGCATGCATGTGTATGCAGTTATGTGATGTGTGTGCATACATGCATGTGTATGGTTTTGTGCATGTGTGTGTGTACATGAACAAGACAGGAGTGAAATGTACCAAGACTATCAAGGAAAAGCAAAAGCAGGAAAAATACAACCCTGACCCTTATTAACTGCAATTTCATGATTTTATAAAAAGCATGAGGCCTTCCAAGGGGTGTCATCAGAGTCTGTCGTATCCTTTGGGATAGGGCCTAGGCCCACCCCCCCACCCCCATGTGTCTTGGCTCAGGGAGTATTCCTCTATGTGGAATGGGCTCCTAAAGTCCACACCTATGCTAAGGATAAGAACTGATTTACTACAAGGAGGTCCCATAGATTTCCCAGGTCTCCTCACTGACACCCATGTTCTTGGGGTCTGGATCAGTCCCATGCTGGTTTCCCA